ACTGGTGTGTATTTTTTCTTTAAAGTACCAAGACCAGCCATATACTGTAATACTCTATGTTTATGTTCCAAAATTAATATTGTCTATGGCCTTCACACGGGTTATGCTCCTATTCTTTTTATGCTCAGCTACTAAGATTTCCCTTCAGTGGTAAAATTCCATATAAATATTGAATACTAAAACGGGCACATTAAAGACATTTAAATCTTTCTACGACCGACCAATGCACCACGAGTGCCCCCGTCGCTCAACCAATCACGTACCGCGGTATTGTGCATCATCAGGACGTAGCCAATTACCAGCAGTATGTGTCTGTGCCGTGCACTTTGAGTGGCTGCATCTGTAGGAATGAGATAGTGAAACAGTGGGTTTGGGAATGTAATGGCATTTGCTAGGGAGAGTGTGGGACGTGACAGTAATGACATTTAGGTTATTTGGCATAACTTGCCTAGCTGAGAGAAATCCAGCCTGATGAGTGACTGACTCATCTCCAAAAATAGCTCCAAAACACAAATGCAGATTTATTAATGAGAGAGTTCATTATGCATGGCCTTTAGCTGATAAGTGTCAAAAGACTAGACAAACAGGCTGTATAAAATGCTGCACTGATTATGGAAGAAAAGTCAGAGAAGTGAGCAGCACTAAAACCAGCTTTAAGTAGCACACTGTGTGTGTGGGGGGGAGTGATGTAAGAACCAATGCAGAATATCTACAAATGACATGGCTGAATGAACAAAGGGAATAGTAGTAATAGGAACCTGTTGGGGCTGATAATGGAATTGAGCTTAAAATAGTATGAACAACTTAGCCTGATTTATCAGTCCATAAAAGATGTCTAAAATCAACACTTTAATATATAAGTTTTTAAAGCATCATGGGAGATCTAACAGATTTTGAAAATGGTCAAATAGTTGGTGCCAAAAATTCAGGTGCATCAGTCACAGAAAAAAATAACAAAATTATGTAATGTGTCAGTTGGAACAGTGTCAGAAATCATAAGGGAAAACACTGTCAAACAGGGAAAACA